TTTACATGTGCATTACTGAGCAGTAACTACTTGTAAGTAAATTTGCTACTTGCATTTACAGGTAGCAAATTTACTTGTGATTAGTGAGGTTTACTGTGCCGTAAGCATATGCACTGCACAGTAAACATGTGCATGTGTACTGTGTTACTGGGCAGTAAAGCATCATGTGTAGATTTGCCCAGTGATTTTAAGATAGTCTCTTCTCTGGGGCTGTAGGGGACAGAACTAGGAGCAATGGACTCAAGCTACAGCAGAGGAAGTTTAGGTTTGAGATTAGAAATAACTTCTTGACTATGACGGTGGTCAAGCATTAGAATAGGCTACTTACAGAGGTTGTGGAATCTATATCCCTGAAAATTTTCAAGTGATGGTTGGACAGACACTTGTCTGGGGTGGTTTGGTTAGGGATGATTCTGCCTTGAGCAGAGGACTAGAGAGAAGGGGCAGATCAACACCCCCTGCCGTGAGGGAGGAGCAGAAACAGGCGCTGCCTTGGCAGGGGGGAGGAGCCACAGCTCGTCGGGGGGGTGGAGCAGAAGGAGGTGGCTCCTGCCACTACTTGCATCCTGGGAGGGCACAGGGGGAGCATGTGCTCCCCAGATCTGCACACGGCAGGGCAGGGCAGTCTACAGGGGGCTCTTCTTGGTGGGGGCCGAGCTCGAAAAGGGCACTGGAAGGATGCTGCATCCACCCCAAAATTTTGCTTCCGCTTCGCTCCCAGTGCCACCAGCCACCCAGCACACCTCCGGCTCAATGCCCTGCCTCCACCCACACACCAGGAAAAGCCAGGGCTGCACTGGGCAGCTGGCAGAGGCAGCAAAATTTGGGGTGGATGCAGCATCCTCCCAGCGCCACTGCTACCCACTCTGAGCCCAGCCCCTGCCAAGAAGAGCCCCACACAGCCCTGGCTACAGCCCTTCCCACCCTGCCCCACGCAGATTCAGAGGGCACATGCCCCTCTCCCCCGGTGCCCTCCTGGGGTGCAAGCAGCAGCAGAAGCCAGTTCCCTCCCCCACC